AAGACTGTCGAAAGAAGCACCGCTCAAAGAATGTTGTACTGCTTTCCAATAACAGGAACTGATGTCGTTTGGAAGAAGTTCAAGAAACCTTCAGTCAGAGTGGTTGAACATCGGAATATGTAAAACTGCCATCTCCTGTAAAACTGCCTCGAGTCCGTCAGTGTTTATCGTATGGTTTAATAACTCCCTCTGGGACAATGGAAAATAAACAGTATTATATGTGGCGTTTGTATATGCCACGCATTATCCGGCAGTATTAGACGCGTATCCACCATGCTCGTTAATCAGCATTTTTGTTAACAACTGTGCATAATGATATTACGTTTCAAAGATTAGACGTGATGAGAAGAGTATAATTTATGCGTCCTCCATCCATTTTTGCTTATCTTGTCTTGAAAGGTGATTTCGCATTTGTGGGCAGGCATTTAAATCTGAATCTAATGCTTTTCCAGTTTATTCGTCAAAGTGAGAAACGAGAACATCGTTTTAAGATTTCGAAATCCCGGCTGATGGTAACCAGGTTGCCATATTCCAACAATTCTGATAATCAAGCAATCACTCTGTAATTATGAAAAGGATCACGTGCACTGTTTGGTACTATAGTTCTCCTCGTCGAAGATTAATATTAGGTACAGTAATATATTGCCGCGTAATACATAACGTTGATATTTTGTTCTGTGACGTTTTTTAAACCGTCTATTTTAGTACTATGACAAAGAGTGGACGCTGTGGGACTGCTTTAATGTAACCGGCGATATGACGTTGCAGCAATTTCTAGACTACATGAAGGTTTGCCACCGTTAGGCGATTCCAGCCTAGTTGTCGATTCTACTTTGCTTATTTACTCAACGTAAAAATTTTTCAGACCGAACATCGCTTGGAGGTGACGATGCTCTCACAAGGGGTCAGTATGCTGTATTCGTTTTTCATGCCGCTCGCCAAACGCCAGCAGAGAATGACGATGACGTATGTGTGGCGGTGATTTGCATCGCAGAATTGTCATTGTTACCATTTTGCGTTTCAGTATCTCGCAGTTGGTCGAATCAATCACCGGCCATAAGATCCCGAGCTTTGTCCAGGCGTTGGTGCTGGAGCCGATGTGCTCTGACGACCAGGGCGAAGACGTCGAAGTTCCTTACATCAGGTACCAGCTGCCGAAACCTATGTTACGGTGAGAAACGCATCCGCCAAGCAATGCACATCGAACGGTGGTGACGGTGCGGCGGCGGATTGCCTTAACGGCAAACAGTCTCTGTCAATGAATGATGAGCACTTTGATAACTTAGTAAATGATTTAATTTTAATGATTGCAGCTTTGATACGTATTTGTCAAGTAAATTTCACTAACATGAGTCGTTGCATTGTTGTATTTGAGATTGACAGTTTCATGACTGGCATAATATTCATTGTTTGCAAAGCCCATTATCATTGTTTTTTCGCTTTCCATTTTAACATTTTCATTGTATTCATTTAATTACGGGTCATACGTTGTAGTGATTTCGTCATCCATATGGTGGGGCAAGGCGTACTCATGGTATGACATAGATGTGTCTGATGACGCTCTCGCTTGATCACGTGACAATACCATGTCAGTGTTATTTCCTTACTTGCATTCTATATATTGTTCGATTGCCCCATCTACGATGGAGTGAATTGCATGCTGAAGGAAGTTAGCAGTTGCTCAGGAAATGTCACACCTCGATAGATTAGAATCTGTATTCATATTGTAGTAAAGCAGAATGAGTCCCCATAATGACTGATAATCGAGCATTTGTTCTGTTTTACTTAATGAAATCTAGCACTAGTTAGCCGCCTAAATGACGTACTTTGTGTTATAGCTGAAGTGATCGTAGTTTAATTTGAAAGCCACAATCAATTTAACTTTGTTAGCAATTGAGCGACCGGATATCCCTCCAACCTACTTAGACATTCACTTAGCATGCTTCACTGTCGTTCCCTTGCTGCCGACTTTTTCAGATTATGTCGAATCTGCATTGAGATTGGTTCCCTGAATTTCACAAGCGACTTTGTTTCTTTCGTCCTTTCTAGTACTCATCAATCGCAGATTTCTGCATCTTCGTAGTAAGTTGTAAATGTATGTTTCCAATGTATAGTTTTAGTCAGTTTCGATGGCAGTTGATCCGCTCGCGGATGTA